GGTTCGATCCCCAACGGTCAGAGATCATAGAAATAAATAAATTATTATCACTAATATTTTTCTCTACCGTATTAATAAATTATGAATTTGCTTTGAAATAAATAATTGTACTTGCTATATAACCCCAATAGCACAAAATATTCCATTCACATTCCTGGGATATTCCATACACAATTTAAGGAATATTCAAATGTCCGATCTTTTGAATATTCCTTTGGAATATTATAGGAATTTATTATTCCATTCGAATATTGTAATTGGAATGTAGAAGGTCCTGTTTGCGAAAATAAATAAAAAATAAAAGATTTCAGAAAATAATTTTTTGTCCTACCTGCACGGAAAGTATGTCATTTCGGGCACTTAAGGCGGGCGCAAAGTAACACATTACGCCCGGGAGTGGGGGAAGCGGGCGGAAAAGTATTTTGCGCCCGCTTGTATGACATCAGCGGGCGGTAAAGTATTTTCCGCCCGCTTCCCCTACCACCGAGCGGGCGGAAAAGTATTTTGCGCCCGCTTGTTAATTATTCGATTTTCTTCATTAAAATGCGACATTTTCGACTTTCTTTTTAAGTTGACTATAGAACTGCAAATATTTTGAACTTGTTTTATTTTACCTTTAAAAATTTGCAAGTTTTTTTTATTTTCTCTAAAAAAACTTATGAGACATTTGGTTTTGTTCCCATTTCGTTTATCAAAATTGTCAATTTTAAAAGTTCTTGTTTCAGTTTTGTTTAATTATTAATTACTACGTTCTAAATAAATACTATGTTTCCAGAATACATTATTTTTTTATTTCTATTTTAAAACTTCTATCATTATAAGACTTCATTCGATATAATGTTTATATAGAGCTTAATTTTTAACTAATATGAGCGTTTAATCGTGCGTGCCCTCAATGCCATACTTTCCATGCAGTTAGGACAAAAAATTATGTTCGCATCATGGGCGCAAAGGTGATTACGACTTTGGCGAAATTTCGGGACCTCGGGGACACTTTCGCTCCCTCGGCTTCGCCTCGGGCGCGAAATTGTGTCCCCTCGGTCCCTTCATTTCGCCATCGTCGCAATCACCTATTTTGCGCCCTTGTTACGAAAATAACTATTTTTGGAATAATTTTTTACATTCTAAATAAACAATTTTTTAATATTAGAAAAGAATTCTTTAAATGTAATAAATATTTTTTGTCATCTTTTCTGAAAAAAGAATTTTGGAATATCAACCTCCATGCGTTAATAACTATATTGGATTGAGGAAAAAAAGTTTTTCGAATTGATTAAAACTTTTCAAACTAGATAGTGATTTTCTTTTGACCACTTTTTTTTTCTTGTGAAAAATTTCTCAAACGACTGACAAGAGTTTTATAGATATGCGCGCAAGTCAAGCGTCAGATGTATACCGGCTGCTACATTCGCATAAAAGTATCGGATAACTTTTCGTGTAGTATGTCAGCATATTCTCGACCTTATAATTTAATACCTACGTTCCATAAAAAGAGGAGAGAAAAAAAAGTTAACGAAATAGAATTTTTCAAATTTGTTACATTTCTTAACACTGCGTATCACCAGTGCCACGGAATATTTCATTCAATAAAAAATAAATTAATAAAAATTATTAATTAATTAAAATTTTACAATAGAATATTCCATTGGAATATTTTCAACTATCTAGATTTTAATTAGTAAAACTGTTGACTAATTTACTTTTGAATACTTAGTTGAATATTTACTTTTGAATGAAAATTTACTTTTGAATTAGTAAATTTTATAAAATTTCTACTAATTTATTATTAATTTTTTTTTAAATATTTAAAAATTTATTAGTAATTCAAAAGGAAAAAGTCAGTCACTAATTTGAATTAGTAAACTTTATAATTAATTTAGTAAATTTTTAGTATTTCAAATTTAGAGAGAATATTCCAATAGAATTATTCATAGGGAATATTTTTGCATTATTTTTGTTTATGAATCACAATTTTTTTAACAAAATTATTATTTTGTTTTAGAAAAAGAAGAAAAATATCTGCACAATTTCTATTTTTAATTGAATTTTTTTTTTCATAAAAATTATTTTCATCATTTTAATTCAATTATTATTTTCTTGAATTTTAAATTATTTTTTATGAAAATAATAATTGAATTCCTTAAAAAAATTGTATTATTTATAAAAATAATTGATATCCTGTGAAATTTTTATTATTTATGAAAATAATTAAATGTTTGCATACAATTTTATTAAATTTTTTTTTTAAATAATTGAATTCTTTTTGAGAAATTTTATTAAAATAGTAGATATTGAAAGTCATTGAAATAAGAAAAGTTTTTGAAAATAATTGAAATTAGGACAAGAATTTTTTTTGACATTTATGAAAATAATTGAACTTTGGACAAGAATTTTGTTATTTATGAAGATAATTGGAATTTTTTTACAAGAATTTTTTTTCAAATTTTGAACATGGTTGAATTTTATAAGAAGAGTTTTATTTTTTTTCTTTTGAAAATAATTGAATTTCTGCAAATATTTGTAATTTCTCCAAAATTGAATTTTTTTAGTGTTTTCAACAAAAATTTAAATTAGAAAATTTTTAAATTCTATTATTTTTAAAATTGTTAATTTTATTTTTAAAAAACGCAGTAACAAGTTAGAATTGTTGCTAGTATTTTCAATAATTGAAAAGAAATATTTTTGTTAATTTGAAGGGAATATTTTCACAATGATTTAGTTGGAATATTTTTAATTATTCAAAGAAAATATTTTCTATAATTCACGTGGAATATTTTTTAACAATTCACGTGGAATATTGTTAATAATCCAAAATGGAATTATAATTTCAATAATTCAATTTCACGAATTCCAATGAAATATTTTGTTAATATTATTGAAATGGAATATTTTTAATACTTCAAAAGGAATATTTTTATAAATTCGAAGGAGATATTTACAATAATTCAGTTTTGGAATATTTTTCATTATTCAAAGGAAATATTTTCTATAATACAAAATGGAATATTTTTAATAATTCGAAGGGAATATTTTCACAATGATTCAGATGGAATATTTTTAATTTTTAAAAGAAAATATTTTCTATAATTTACGTGGAATATTTTTAATAATTCAAAGTATTTTGAAATAGAAATATTTTCAATAATTGAAAAGGAATATTATTAGTTATTCATAGAAAGTATTTTTAATCATTTTTTTAAAGGAATTATTTTTAATTATTTAAAGGAAATATTTTCTTATAATGCAAGTGGAATAATTCCAATAACTTTAAATAATATTTTCAATAATTCAAAAGGAATATTTTCAATGATTTAGCTTTGGAATATTTTTAATTATTTAAAGGAAATATTTTCTATAATTCAAAATGGAATATTTTCTATAATTCAAGTGGAATATTTTCAATAACTTTGAATGGAATATTTTTATTAATTCGAAGGGAATATTTTCAATAATTAAAAAAGGGAATATTTTCAATAAATCAAAAAGGGAATATTTTGAAATATTAGCAAAATTCATATGTACACAAGAAAACGGTTTAAATGTCAAATATTCTATTTTGCTGATCACTATGTTAAAATAAATATTATATAGATATCATTATGTATATTATATAAAAGAAGAGTGTAATTAATACAATTTTTCATCAGTGCTCAATGATTTATCGTACACACAAATATGAGAAAAGTAGTCAATTTTAAAATGAAATTGCCTAAAGCTTTAAATTGCTAATATTCACGTGTCAACGATTAACCAGTAATTTGTGCAGCTATATGCAATTATCGCACACCGCGCATACTGTGACAGTGAAGTTCAAATAGCATTTTAGAACTGGTCGGAATTGAGCAAATTTCGATGAAACCATTGTATTATCATTTGATTATCTTTCTGATATTAATGAAACCAATTAAATCGATTTTAAACGAACAAAAGTACCATTATTTGAATCTGAGGATAATTATACTTCAAAAGAAATTTCTCTATTACATTAAATCTTCTAACAGATATATATTATATCTATTTTATTTTTAAATCTTTAAAAATACATTTTTAAATATTTAAGTAAATATAAAAAAATATAAAGATATTTTTATTTAGAAAATTACAAATTGTAGATCAAATTTTATTACTTAAAAAGCTTTCAGTTTATTTATAGAAAAAGCTTTCTCCACGCGGGGAAGCAAAATAATCTAACAATGTTATATTAAAAATATTTCAAGTATTTAATTGAAGTATTTTGGCGTGTGGGTGAAATTCACGCGCAAAGTTTATGGTTTAGCGATTGAAAACAATATTTTTTGTTTAAACAAATACTTTTTAAATTGCTGATGAAGAAATATAATTATTTCGTTAAAAGTCACTAATGGTATATATACTATTTTTCAAACCGAGATTTTAAATATCAATTTATTTGCTGAAGAAATTAATTCTAAGACTCTAAAAAAAACTGGAGATCATTAAAATATCGCAAATTAAAAATTGAAATTCATTTATATTAGTTTTTAAAACTCTCTAGATTCAATGTTGGATTTAAATGATTATAGAATTACGAACATTGACGAACATCTTGGGATTTAATATGGAGATGAAATTCTCCACCTGCGAACGCCAAGGTCACCGCTAGATGGCAGTTTAGTTGCCAAAAACAGATTTCTCGCCACCTGGTGTCGACATTGGCGTTCTCAAGTGGGAGGAATTAAAACCACTATTTTATCCCTTAAAAACTTTTTTATAATTAATATTTAATAATATTAATTATAATATTTCAAATTCAGTCTGAGGCCTGGATATTGTATTGTATTGGAATATTTAAAAAGTATTTAGATAATATTTTAAAAATGTTTCAGAATTGTTTCAGGTAGAAAATAAAATTTGTGGACAATAAAAGAAAAAATGGGAAATAAAATTTTTTAATTGGATTTTTTCCGGTAAAACTAGTTCATTAGAGTTGAATTCATCATCAAGGAGACTTAATTTAAAGATAATAATTTTCCAAGACTTACTTCAAGTTCATTTTGAAGACTCTCCTTATCAACCGTTGGGTAACTTGTTGACCAGTGAACAAGAGTTATGAGAACTATTCCAAAACATGCCATAACTCGGACTGAAACCATTTTGTTGCTGGAAAATAAGTAAAAGAGATTTTTCGTTAAATTTTTATATGTTAAATAATATTAATTTTTATTTTATTTTTTTAATTATTAAAAGAATATATATTAATTTTATATTAACTTTTAAATAGTAAATAATAATTAAATAATAATAAATTAATATTATTTTAATCTGTAGTAGGAGTAGTAGTAGTATTACTTCCATTTTAAAATAAAATATAAAAAAAATATTATTTACACAAAATAATGGAAAAAATACGAATACAGTGATAAATTTATTCTAATAATATAATTTTTTATAAATTTTATATGACCGTTTTAATAAACGGTCACTAACTTCAAGTATATATCAATATAATTTTTTCTTTTGTTTTTAAAATAAACTTTATGATTGCAAGTTAAGAGGTGAATTATTTTCTGCATGTAGGACAAACTATAATGTTTTATAAATAAATAATAAATTTTACTTCGCCAGTAGATAAAAATTGTGTATAACTAAAATTCAAATTATACCTTTCGACTTTCATAACAAGATCATTATATGTATACGCAAAATATATAGGAAAAAGTTTTGCTAAAGAAATATAAAACTTTATATATCTTTCTCAATAAATATTCCAATTTACAATAACATTTAAACGTTCAACATTATTATTTTCAATAATCTGCAAACAATTTTTGGCTGAATTTATAAACTTTAATAAAATATGAAAAAAAGTACACGAAAAAAATTTGTACCTATCGAAAAATTTGTTAAATTAATTACAAGATGCTGCCCAGAAATTTTTCCATGTAATTGAGCATAATACCTAACAATCTTTAATGTTAATACAAACTCATTTAATTTATTTCATTAAAGACACAAAAATTTTCCAAACTAAAAAATTTGTCACCTTATTGTTAATATTTTCCAATTTCCTACGTGTTTTAAAAAAGAGATTTTCAATATTTATTTCCAGTTCAATTAATTTGAAATGAAACAAAAACGAAACAAAAGTATCGATTCAAATTTATAATAGAAAAACTGTATATTTTTGTAAAGTAAAAAATTATGATAACAACTTGGGGGAGAAAAAGGTAAAATTCCAATTATTTATAACATCAGCAATGGGTATGGGGGATCTAACGATCGAAGAACCGGAGCAATTTATCCGTCCAATTAGAACCGGATAGTGGATAATAATTAGTGATTAATCAAACTCATTAAGAGAAATGCGGTAAATGGTCTTGCGAAACGTGTGTGTTGTTTCCGAGAGAGATGTCATTTCCAAAAGGAAATAATTCTCTCACTAAAGAGTCCGTTAATCCCTGCCTGCGCCTATTATATATACATTTTATCTTCGCGCTTAAAAAAATTCTCTAAATTTCCATGCGAAAAATTTTTTAAACACTAATTTTCACAGGGAAAAAATTGACAAAATTCTCTGAACAAAATATTTTTCTCCTAACGTGAGCTTTGGGTCTTAAATTTTCAACATATAAAATATGTTACAAATTTAAGGTTTATAAAAAACGAATCGTTACAAATTATTATTATTATTAACAACAAATTAATTATTTTTCATAATCAAATATTAATCTAATAAATTGTGTATTATCAATAGTATAATGTATAACAAAATACTATTTACTTTCGTAGAATGGAAATAGATCTCTAGACAGTCTAATTAATTTAAAAAAAATTTACGCATACAAAAGTATTTAATTTTTATTATTTTCGAATAATTATTACTAATAATAAATCTATGTAAAATTAATCTTTCGTTATTCACTAACATCGTCCTAATATTAATTATTAATTAAATTTAATTGAAGAAAAGTAGAAAATATAAATGAGGTTAGTAGATTTATAACATTGGTGTTTGTTAAAAAAAAACAGAAATTTCGAAATAACATTTTTTTCGAACCAAATTTTTGTAATTTAATATAAATTTTACTATCAAATAAATATTTTAGTATTTTTATCAAATAATTATTGGATAGGTGGTCACTTTTTCTAAAAAAATATTTTCTAATACTTTTTGTCTAAGAAAAGCGATTTCTAATGAAATCTGTTTTCTAAAAAAAGTTTTTCTAATAAGTTTTGATTTCTAAAAAAAGTTTCTCTAAAAAGTTATGATTTCTAATATTTATTTTTCAAAAAATTGTAAGTTGAAGTTCCATAATTTTGATAAAAGTTAGAAAATTGTTAAAAAATTTAAGATTATAGAAAATAGAAACTGTTTTGCATATTTTCTACTTCTCAATCACAAGTTTGTTCATATAAAATTATGAGTTTATTTTTTTGAAAAAGAAGACAAATTTTATAAAATTCCTATTTCTTATCACAATTTTTTAACAAAATTCCGTTCTTCTTTGAAAAAAAGAAATAATAATTTGCATTATTTTTATACCAAAATTTTCAAAATTAATCTATTTATCAAGATATTTATAAAATATTTTTGTTTAGAAAATTTTAAATATCTTTAGGAAAAAATCCCTATAATTTCTATTTGTCAATTCCGATTTTTAACTAGATTATTTAAAAATTTTGGTAAAAAATTTGCATAATTTCTATTTTTTACAATTTTTTAACAAAATTTAAAGTAATGTTTTTAAGAATTAAATAATTTTATTAAATTTTATTGTTATTGTCATTACAAAAATTGAATATTGCTAGAAAACAAAATTTGAAAATTACTTTTATTAGAAAAAGAAATTTTTAGAAAATGATCTTTATAAGATCATTTTCAGTTTCAAAATAAATAAAAAATATATAAACGAAAAGAATCAAAACAATGAAACAAAACATTGAAATAAGAAAATTTTTTCGATCCAGTATAAAAAAAGAAGCAATAATTTTTTTCCTATTACAGAACAATTTTAAATTTCCAAAATTCATATAATAATGTTTAATTTATAAACATTCACTGTCTTAGTTTTTTTTTGTAAACAATAGACTAAGAAAGAAAGCTTAAATTCAAAAAACAATATTTGGAACAAATGCATTTATTATTTTTTATTTATTTATTATAAATTTATCTAATAAATAAATATTTAAATATTTAATAAATATTTACTAAATAAATTTTACTTAAAATTTGACAATTTTCCTTTAGTTTGAATTTATCGGAGTTTATTTTAAAACAGAAGATGACGTCATTAGTCATAAACAACAATTTGAGCCTTTCTTGAAATAAGACAATAAAATTTATTGTATAGTGAAAGCAATTGAAGGGAGAAATTTCAAAGAAAATAAAGGAATCACATAATCAGAAAGTAAGGAACAAGACAAAAATAGGACGAAAAAAGTAGGAAAAAGGAACAGAAAATTTCCGAACAAAAATTATTGTAGTCAGTATCATTTCTTATGTCGGGTTTATCATTGTAAAGTTAAAATATAATCTAATAAATTTACTCGATATTTGTATAATTTAATTGCATACTTATTTAATTTTTTAATAGGCACATTAATTTTTATTTATATATTAATCTAATATTTTTATTATAATTTACTTATTATTTTTTTACTTTTTTCGTAGTTATTATTTTATTATTTTTTGTTCTCTTTTCATTTGCCATTAATTAATTCACTGATGATTCTTTTAAATGAATGGAAATTTTAAAGTAAACATTATTATTGTTATAATTTATTTATTCACTATTTTCTAATTTCTAAAATTTTGAACGTTCAAATGAACGAAATATTTTTTATTAAATTTATTTTCATAAATTACCGATTGAAATTAAAATTAAAAACTTAAAGTTTACATTTAGAAACTTTTAAATAATATTTTTTGACAGCTATACGCAAAATTATTGCAATAAAAATTTAATTCGAAGAAGAAGTAAATAAATTTTGCTCGTTTGAACGTTCGAAACTTTAGGAAAGTTTATTTTCCATCCATTTCTATTTATTTTATATTTTTAATATTTGTTTATTTACTAGTTTTGTTATTTGTTTATTTTATATTTTTAATATTTGTTTATTTATTATTTTTGTTATTTGTTTATTTATTATTTTTGTTATTTGTCTATTTATTATTTTCGTTATTTATTCAATTACTAAACATTCATTTATTGATGGGGTTCTTTGAAATAAATGAAAATTTAAAACAAAACAAAAGAAATAAATTTATTCCTCTCTTCTCTTTTTGTCCGGATGAGAAGATAATTTTTAATGTACGTTTAATGCTTTTTGATATCGTTATCATTATTGGAATCGTTATTGTTGTGGACCAGAGGAAAAAAAGAAAATGCAAATCCCTAACAATTATATTGGAGATTACTGAAATGTATTAATCCCACAAAGTGTAACAATTGCGTATAATATAATATGTAAATATTTATTTAAAGGGCAAATATTGAACAAATTTTGCATTATATTTCATTTCAACAATAATTATCGCTAATCCTATAATTAATTGAAAATTTAATATCTTTTCCATCTCAATTTATAAAAAGCTGCGCATAATACACTATTTTCACCGAGAAAAATTAAATAAAAATAAACAAAGTTTTCTATACAAAAGATTTTACTACGAAAGAAAATTATTATTTGCAAATTTCCTTTTTCCTCTAATAAAGAAAGGAGTTTTTTTTTGGTTTTATCTTTTTATAATAAAACGGTAATCTGCATTGTTAAACATACATCCGGTGAATTTTAAATTATTAAACAAAAAAAAGAGAAGCGTGAATTTTGCTTTCTTACATTCTAGACATAATTTTATTTTTAATGGGATTGACTTCTCTTTCATAATCTCGGGAGTTAAATTAATCGACTTTCATAATAAATTTTACTTAAAGGCGACACTGTCTGCAAAATGTTCAATCGCCTTTTTTTTATTTCAATTCAGAAGATAATTTCCTAACGTGTAATTTATCATTTTAATGCATTATTTGGAAAACGATTCTATAGATGAAACGTTTTTCATTAAGTTTCATAAATTTTATTTAGAAAGATAAATTTTAGTCTTAACAAAATTTTCTTTTATTTGTATGTTCAGTTCTGAAGTAAATAACTTAAGGCAT